TGTCTTGAACCGCGGTCAGCCATGTGGTAGTCCAGCGTCCTTAACCACCACACCACCTGCCGGCCCCCCCCAGCATAATTTTTAAGCCACCAGGTCCAGGACTCAAACTGCAGTCAGCCATGTGAAAGTCTAGCACTTGAGCCACATGCCACCTGTTGGCCCCATAGAAAAGTTTTTTGTTTGTTTGTTTTTTGGAGAGGTTTTTGCTATAGAGTGCATGCACTTGCCAGAAAGACAGAGAGACTAGAAAGCAAGAAATCACCCCCCAAGCAGGGATGGCCACGCCACAATCGCATCTCCTCTGTTCTCTTCTCGGGATGTTGGGCATGCATGCACTTGAGCCACATGCCACCTGTTGGCCCCATAGAAAAGTTTTTTGTTTGTTTGTTTTTTGGAGAGGTTTTTGCTATAGAGTGCATGCACTTGCCAGAAAGACAGAGAGACTAGAAAGCAAGAAATCACCCCCCAAGCAGGGATGGCCACGCCACAATCGCATCTCCTCTGTTCTCTTCTCGGGATGTTGGGCATGCATGCACACGTGCCCGGTGTGAGTTTTTAAGCCACCAGGTCCAGGACTTGAACCACAGTTGACCACATGGGAATCCAGCGACATAGCCATTATGCCAACTGCTGGCCCCGAAAAGATTGTTTTAAAAAATGAATACATGGGGCCGGTAGGTGGCATCATGTGTAAGGATGCTGGACTCTCACATGGCCAACCACGGTTCAAGTCCCAGACCTGGCAGCTTGCTTTCTCTCTCTCACTCTGTCCCTCTCTGGTCAAATTTAAACAAATAAATTAAGTTAAATAATTCTTAGGATAAATAAATACATGGGGCCAGCAGGTGGCATGTTTGTTGGGGAAGCGGACTCCCACATGGCTGACTGCGGTTCAAATTCCAGATCTGGTGGCTTGCTTTCTTACTTTCCCTCTCTCTCTGTCTGGTGAGCACATGTACCCTATTGCAAACTTAAAAAGAATAACAATAAATAAAATATGGCATTGTCGAAAAAGTCATGTCATGTTTTTCTATGCAAAAATGCATCATGACTTTTCCAACAACCCAATAAAATTAATAAATTTTTAATAAGTAAATAAATAAATGAATACACAACTACTTAGTGAAGCACTGGGATGCTCACCAGGTCTGCTTGCTTTTGTTTTCATACCCCTCATCCTTAAATAGTATTGTTCCAAGTTCCATGGGAGCACAAAGGAGACAGTGAGGACAGGGAGCAGGGCCTGAATTTTGAGAAGTACACCTCACCCCGGCTGAACTCACCTTCTAAGAAAGCCTATCCTTGTCACTGTCACTCAGTAGATAACTTCAATAGCTACCACTGTCCCTACTCCTCGGTTTTTCATTTTCCAGTCAGCATCATGAACATAGACTTTATGTGTGGTACGTGTAAAATGTCAATCTGTAACCTTTGTATTTGACACCTAGGACTCAACCCAGTATTGTGAGAGCTAGGGAACGGGGTTCCTCTCCATCAGGAATTAGCAAACTGATTCTCAGGCCAGATCCAGCCATCTGCCTACAAGCTGATAATATATATGTTTTGCATTTTTATTTTATTATGTATTTTTTTTTAATTATTTTATTTTAACTTTATTTTGACAAGAGAGGGGCAGAGTGAGAAAGTGAGAAAGCAAGCCACCGGGTCAGCCATGTGGGAGTCCAGCGCCCTTAACCATCACACCACCTGCCGGCTCCTATTTATGTACTTTATAAAGAATTATTTTTTTAAAGAATTATTTAACTATTTATTTATTTTTAATTTGACTAAAGAGGTACAGAGAGAGAGAGTTGAGAAAGCAAGCCACCAGGTCCGAGACTTGAACCGCAGTCAGCCATGTGAGAGTCCAGCGTCCTTAACCACCATGCCACCCGCTGGCCCTTTAAAGGATTAATTTATTTAACTTTATTTATTTATTCGAATTTGGCCAGAGAGGGACAGAGAGAAAGTGAGAAACTGAGCCACCAGGTCCAGGACTCAAACCGCAGGTGGCCATGTGGGAGTCCAGCACCCTTTACCACCACTCCACCTGCCAGCCCCTTATGTATTTGCTTTTAAGAGAGATTTTTGCTACAGGGTGCATGTGTCCCTGGAGAAACAGAGAAACCGAGAAAGAGAAAATGAGAAATCACCTCCCTGGGGGAATGGCCATGCCATAATCCCTTCTCCATTCTCCTCTCAGGATTTTGGACATGCACCAACTGTGAGTTTCAAGCCTCTGGGTCTGGGACTCAAACCATGGTCTGCCATGTGGGAGTCCAGCACCTTAACCACTATACTACCTGCAAGGCCCAATTTCTACATTTTTAAAATGGTTATTCTGTAAGTAATTCTCTAAGTACCTAGTGATATCATTCATTTTGTTTCTTGGCCTGCAGTCCCTAAAATATTTTAAGTATCTTAGAAAAAGTTTGCTGATCTCTACTCTAGATCATAGAAGATATAAAGGAAAACAAACCTCAAACGTACCTCTCTCCCTCTCCCACACTTGCTCCTCATCCCAGGGCAGCAGGGATCTCTATCAGGACAACTATCCACAGTCTATATGAACTTTCTTACCTTAGTTCCCCGATCATGTCCCTGAAAGCCCCCTCTCTATAGATTAAGAACCCAGATGGGACCAGCAGTTAGCATAATGGCTATGTCGCTGAACTCCCATGTAGTCAACTGTGGGTCAAGTCCCCGACCCGGTGGCTTAAACTCACACCGGGCGTGTGTACGTGCGTGCCCAAGATCCTGAGAGGAGAATGGAGAAGGGATTGTGGCGTGGCCATCCCCCCAGGTGGGTGATTTCTTGCTTGCTGTCTCTCTGTCTCTTTCTGGTGAGCGCACACGTCCTATAGCAAAAACCTCTCAAAAAAAAAAAAAACCAGAAACCTCCCTCTGCCCCCACTCCAGGCGAGACGTGGCTTCTTTTGGGGTACGAGTCTCCATCGTGGAGCCTGGCTTCTTCCGAACCCCTGTGACCAACCTGGAGACTTTGGAGAACATCTTGCAAGCCTGCTGGGCACGGCTCCCTCCTGCCCCACAGGCCCACTATGGAGAGGCCTTCCTTACCAAGTGTGAGTAGCAGGGCCACAAGGGCATATGAAGGAAAACGGAAGTGTCAGAGAAGCCAATCCTGTATCAGCCTGGTGGGAGGATGTGGGCAAAGCACCAGGGAGGGGGTGAGCACGAGTGGCATGCCACAGGGGAGTGCCCAGGCTCTGTGCAGCCTGCCCACTCCCCAAACTGGGAGGGGATGAGGAGCCCTCTCAGCTCTGCTGGGCAATAAGCACCAGGACCAGAAAGGTAGGGCCTGAGGTGGACTGGAGAGGGGTGGGGACACTGACTGCAACCACCCATGGGGCTACAGACCTAAAAGTGCAGCAGCGCATCATGAACCTCATCTGTGACCCGGACCTGACCAAGGTGAGCAGGTGCGTGGAGCATGCCCTGACAGCTCGCCACCCCCGAACCCGCTACAGCCCAGGCTGGGATGCCAAGCTGCTCTGGCTGCCTGCTTCCTACCTGCCAGCAAGCCTGGTGGATGCTGTGCTCACCTCGGTCCTTCCCAAGCCTGCGCAGGCAGTCTACTGAATCCAGCCTTCCAGCACGGGACTATTTTTCAGGGATGAGGACTTTGTTTTCTGTCCCTGCCCTAATACTGCCTATGCCTGGCACAAAATAGATAATAAATGTGTATTGTTAAGAAGAAATAATAGGGCCGGCTCATGGCCTGGTAGTTACGGGAACTGGATCCCACATGGGCAACATGGTCGTGGTCCCAGCTGCTTGAGAAACATCCCAAGAACATGTGTTTGAGTGCCCAAAATCCTGACAGGATGGTGAACTAGAAGGGACTGCAGCATAACCACACCTCATTATGGGTGCTTTCTCCCTCTCTCTAGTGAGCACACACACCTTCTGGAAATTAAAAATAATAGGTGGTTATAAATGAAGGTTCCAAGTGGGAGACATCTCATTTAAATAATAAGTACCCTAAGCTAACAGGCTCCAAGGCCTCTGGCAGTTTAGTGCCTGCAAAACACCTAGCACCCACTGGGGGGCGCAAGGGAATCATCTTGCATCTATAGTGAGCTTCCAATTGGCACCTGGAGTAACCACTAGAGGGCACTTTTGGACTTTTTCCCTTATTTTCCACAAGGAATAAGGTTGCAATTCACTGGTTGTACTCAAGAGTGACCTTTTTCTATTTTTCTTGGAGGAAGAGGGAACGTGATGAAGGGAGGGTCAGGGACAGGTTGAATGGTTTCCATGGAAGGAAAAGCAATCGAATTTCCCTACTATCTGGAATGCCCCATGGCCTAGTGGTGGAGAGAGCTGGATCCAAGGCCAAAGGAGGTTCAAATCCCAGCCTGGTGACTTGAAAAACATGCCAGATGCATGTACATGCACGCCCAGAATCCTGCCAGGATACAGAAGGGATTGCTGTGTGACCCCTCAAATGGTGCTTTCTCCCTCTCTTTCCAACATGCACCCTCTAGTGAGGGACACTGGTCACACCAGTTCCAAGACACCTTATCACCACCTCAAAAGGAGTCGGTTCCCCTTGAGGACTGGAGGGTGAGGGAGTTGCTGGGCCCTTGGAGGTGTGCAGAAGGCTGGGGAGAAAATGGCCAATATAAATGTGGGCTGGGCTCTCCCAGGTAGGTTCTGTGAAGGGAATCCCTGTGACTTAGGCAGGAGATGGCTTCATGTCCCAGCACTGGAACATTCATGAGACTAGGGGACTGGGAGGGCACCAGCCACAGCCTCCTACAGATCCTTCAGATTCTCTCAGTAAAACCCTCGTTCCTCAAACAGCCCCCCAAAAAAGGCCTGCCTTTCCCAGAGGTACACAGCAAGGTCCCAGATGACGGGGAGCATGAATAAGAAGAGAGACAGGGTCAAGTATCATTTTTTCCTTCCTTTTGTAAGAGAAATGGAAGTAACAGAGTTTTGCTTTGTTTTTCTCCACATCAGACGGGTAATGTGCCTAACAAGGTTCAAGAGAGACACATCTCACACGATAGTGTGGATAGTGTGAAAATTCAATCACGTCCATGAGCCACAAAAGGCTCAAGACAGGTGTTTCTGACAGGGTTTTGCCATACAGCAATCCTCCTGCCCCAGTCTCCCAACTAGTTGGGATTATAGGCAGAGGCAACACAGCCAGACCAGGTTGGCCAGGAGCCAACCCAGCCCCCAGCACCACGCCCCCCGCCCCGTGGAGCTGCCAACCTCCCAGATGGTGTCGCTACCTCTGCACCACTGCGGCTGGACCTCGAGTATCACGCTAAACAAAATGAGACCATCTTTCTTTTGGGTCTGAAAAAATAATCCGTTTAATTGAAAAAGCTGGAGGATTCTACTCCACTCCCCTAGATGAGGGGGCTGAAGAGGCCAGACCCCCTACATCACCTCATAGCCACTTCGGATACTCTTCACGAGGCAGCAGGCAAACACGATCCCCAGGACCTGAAAGGAAAGATGGAGAAGAGTCAGGAGGGCAAGATACCCCAGACCCACCCAAGGAACCCCAACCACATGCAGGGCTCCCCTCCCCAGGCCAGTACTTGCTCAGTACCCTCGTCCCCAGATACCCTGCCTGAGTCCCAGCCCCTGCCTAGGGCATCTCTCACCTCTACAAAAGCAATGCCCAGGGCTGCTGCAGCTATCACCAGCACGTTTTTCCTCAGCCAGTCGCCAATCTTCTCCACACAGCCCTGAAAAGTGCCAGGCACACAAAACAAGAACACTATCAGAGACTTCCCACTCGCCTGCCCCCGGTACACCAGTCTCTTCCCGGAGAGTAACACTCCCAGAGCCCCTCCCCATCCTTGACCCTGTCCACATCCACCCTAGGCCTCTCTTGCTGCCCAAAGCACTTCCCAGGTTTCCCAAGTCCCGTCTGTCTCCTCCTACCTCCCTATTGATGTTCTTCACATTGAATTTAATCCCACAGCCCACGGCAAAGTTGATGCAGCAGGAGTCAGGGACTCGGTCCTTGCCCATGCCTGTGATGTTCTCCCAGTCTGTGTAGTTAGTAGCCCCGCAGCAGTGAGACTGAGGGAGGTGAGAGAGATGGAGAAGGTTGTTAAGTGAACCTCTACCTTCGATATGGAGGTGAAAATCCTCTACCCCCACCACCCCAGCTCCAAGCAGCCCCACTCACCTGGTTCTGCATTCGGTCCAGGAGTTCAGCTGTATGGTTATCTTTCAAGTAATTCAGCATCTGCTCCTGGAAGTCCTTATTAAACTCTCTTTTCACCTGACAGTAGGGAGGAGCAATGTTGAGGTCAGAAATCAGGCACCTGGGTCCCAGAGCCACCCTAGCAGCGCCCTCCCTCTTAATAACCCCATCACCCCACTGACCTTGTCTCTAAACACATAACCAGCAATGGCTGCTGCCACTTCCACCAGCATGATAAGAGACAGGAAGATGGCAAACTAGCGGAGCAAAAGACAGGAGTTAGGTTTGGAGCCTATGGGGGAGGGGGGGCACACTGGCACAGCCAGTCCCTGAAACACTCACAAAGGTCTCATCCCACCACCCTTGTGAGCACCAGCCA